TAAAAAGATTGAGATCGGTATTGGCAGATACTGCTTTCTGTGATCGGATCAGATGTCATAATTCATAATAAGGCATAATTTTGATAAAGAGAAAGTCAAATTACATTAATGTTAAGGTCATTCTATTGATCATCATTGATTCATTTTATAGTATAAAATGTTATATAGTGTAAAAATACAGTGTAAAATGTTACTATTATATAAACTAATGGAAGGTATAGCCTTCTCAAAAACCAGTGTTGTAACTCCTTATGTGAGGTTTGCAGTTCCTTTTGCAGACCTTTTCTTTGTTTGCTATTCTGATCTATTTCTGTTGGTTTTTAGTATTTTCTCTTTAAAGGGAATCGGACACAAAACTCTCGTTGTGGAGAAGTTGAGGGATATTCCCACAGATTCTTTCCCAGCATCCTCCTCTCATAATTGTATGTCTTCAAAGCATATATGAGGTCTAACTCAAAGTCCTTTTGAACAATTATAGTCATTGTCAGCTGTCAAGCTGTCACCCTCGGTCTTGACAAACACATGCATACAGTCACTTCATACACACATTAGTGCAGCTAATACATACACGGGTATCCACACGTTACACAGGCCCTCTAACTATAATTTTGAAGCAGGTTGAAATATGGGCTGCTTAACACATACCTGATGTAAACGGGAATTAAAAGTGTGAATCACGTAAGAGGAATCCTCTCATATAATGTTTCATCTGAATAAGTTAAAAGTGGAGAGAGGTCCCACATAATTACTTCAAAGATTATAGAGCGGCCCATCTCTCATGTATGTGGGATTGTAACCCTGCGCACTATTGTTTGGAAAGTACTCTGAGGTTAAAAATATGGGGAACATCAAAATGCAGCACCCCACCAGAATATAAGCACAATTTTTGATTTGCTTGTGTTGTACCAACTGGACTGTAAACAACTTTTTTTTCCAAAGGAGCATTTTTCCCAAGTCACTCTATTTTAGTTTGCTATTTCTGTGGGGCCTCATTCTTTGCTATGGTACAATAACTATGACCTACATAAAAAGCTGACTTGACTTGACTCGAGTTAGCACTCAAAGCTACCTTTGTTAGTCTTTCTTTAAATATTCTGGTGCAGTTATTAGTCGTTTTTAGGTCATTTGACAATTATGAAAAGGATATTTTGGGAATAATTTTCCTTGGAAGACTTGCTGTGTGTAAACAAAGAACAAGAGCAATGTGTCAAGACCTGTTTGATAATTACACTCCAATTGGAAATTGACCAATTCATCTCTTGATTGAACTTCTCATCTCATTCTCATCTCATCTTGTTATTTGTAGGGATGCACAATATATTGGTACCATATTTGTTATAGGATAATATATTTTTTTTACAAATTTATCAGTTTATATTGCATCCTTATTTCCCATATTTGTATATTTTGATTACTTTTGTTGTTATCTAACACTCAAATTTCATCTTTAAAAAAATTATTTAATAATTGTTAAATGTAATCCTGAGTAAATCCATTTTCATACTGTACATAATATTGTTTGGCATCTAAAATCACTTACACTTGTAAAACAATTGTTTTTATTATTAAAATGTTTAATTTAGGCAAAGTATGAAAACATTTTATGTTTGTTATATCAGCCAGAATTTTAATGTCGATACATCCCTTATTTTTTGAGGTGGGATGTGAAATGGTCTGATGATGGTTATGGACAACTGACAATAAGAAAACATTCATTGCTTCATGACCAATAAGTAGGGGTTCTTCTATTTTACAGTAAACATTGTTTGATGCCTCAATTCTTAGTGACGCTTGAGATTTTGAGATAATTCAATTGACCCCTCTGTTTTTCACAAACAATCCAATCAAGATAGGTTAAAAGTGCCTTGAAGGAAATTCATAGTGATGTTAGCAGGATTCATGAGATAGAAAAGCTGTTTGCAATATCAATCACCTCTTGTTTCATATTTCACATTGCCCGGGGCTCATATTCCTCCTGCTTGTGCCCTGATAAAACCTAATTGAAGAGATGACTGGGCTGAATTATACGCCCTCAGTAATTTGGATTGTTAGCTTTGTCTTGTCTTTCATCACCAGTCCCTGTAATTCCACTGAAACTCTTTGGCTCTGATCCAGTCCATTTCTGCCCTCCCTTTTTCCTCAATTGCAATGTATTTTACCCCTGTCAGGAAAGATCCCCCTTCCAGTATTAAGCCCCCTCTCACCCTCGCCACCACCCTCTCCTTCACATCAAGAATAGCTGGGCGGAAAAATCCACTTGTCTCATTGGCCTCTCTATTTTCTGCTGTTATCTGAGATGGATTGTTCATTGTTTGCCACCGGGATGGTCTTTGTTTCGGAGGCGCCTGCAGATGAGGGAAGGTCTTTGTGTAACTCTAGAAAGTGTACCCAACGACCTACATAAAAAGCTGACTTGACTTGACTCGAGTTAGCACTCAAAGCTACCTTTGTTAGTCTTTCTTTAAATATTCTGGTGCAGTTATTAGTCGTTTTTAGGTCATTTGGCAATTATGAACAAGAGCAATGTGTCAAGACCTGTTTGATAATTACACTCCAATTGGAAATTGACCAATTCATCTCTTGATTGAACTTCTCATCTCATTCTCATCTCATCTTGTTATTTGTAGGGATGCACAATATATTGGTACCATATTTGTTATAATAATATATTTTTTTTACAAATTTATCAGTTTATATTGCATCCTTATTTCCCATATTTGTATATTTTGATTACTTTTGTTGTTATCTAACACTCAAATTTCATCTTTAAAAAAATTATTTAATAATTGTTAAATGTAATCCTGAGTAAATCCATTTTCATACTGTACATAATATTGTTTGGCATCTAAAATCACTTACACTTGTAAAACAATTGTTTTTATTATTAAAATGTTTAATTTAGGCAAAGTATGAAAACATTTTATGTTTGTTATATCAGCCAGAATTTTAATGTCGATACATCCCTTATTTTTTGAGGTGGGATGTGAAATGGTCTGATGATGGTTATGGACAACTGACAATAAGAAAACATTCATTGCTTCATGACCAATAAGTAGGGGTTCTTCTATTTTACAGTAAACATTGTTTGATGCCTCAATTCTTAGTGACGCTTGAGATTTTGAGAATTCAATTGACCCCTCTGTTTTTCACAAACAATCCAATCAAGATAGGTTAAAAGTGCCTTGAAGGAAATTCATAATGATGTTAGCAGGATTCATGAGATAGAAAAGCTGTTTGCAATATCAATCACCTCTTGTTTCATATTTCACATTGCCCGGGGCTCATATTCCTCCTGCTTGTGCCCTGATAAAACCTAATTGAAGAGATGACTGGGCTGAATTATACGCCCTCAGTAATTTGGATTGTTAGCTTTGTCTTGTCTTTCATCACCAGTCCCTGTAATTCCACTGAAACTCTTTGGCTCTGATCCAGTCCATTTCTGCCCTCCCTTTTTCCTCAATTGCAATGTATTTTACCCCTGTCAGGAAAGATCCCCCTTCCAGTATTAAGCCCCCTCTCACCCTCGCCACCACCCTCTCCTTCACATCAAGAATAGCTGGGCGGAAAAATCCACTTGTCTCATTGGCCTCTCTTAATTTATTTACTTTGGCAAATAAAAGTTTCTGAATTTATATTTCAGCTTAGATAAAATAATAAATATAAAATATATTTTGTCATTTTTGTATTTATTTTACTATTTTTTTTTTATATATGATGTTTTGTTATATTTGAGACTGTTTGAAAGTGCACAGTGTATTGTTAAGTCCCAGTTGAATTCTTCTCACAACAAAGACTTCCTGCAGGATGTTGTATCACTAGCCTCACCTTTGTACCAGCGTCTCTCACCCGTGATTGTAATGAACCCTGTGCTGCGTCCACTTTGGTCCACTGCAGGTTTGGCAGAGGTGCCGTGTCCGGTGTTCTTTCCTGACGATAAAGGGAAGAGAGGGGAACAGGATTGTACATGAGCTCTTTCCCTTTTGCCCACCCAGTTCCGTGTCCAACAGATATCCGATCATTAGCAGTTATTTTAGCACCTACTCTAGAGCATCCTGTAAACACACATTCAAACATATTAGATACTTTTAGAACATTAACAACGTCATTGAAATGCCCACATTTCCTGTGCCTAAACGTTTCCATGGGTGTGTAAACATCCATACGGATGATCGTCCAGGGAAAGATGACAAAGCTTATTGACAAATCAGTCTTCTGCTTGTAGTTTGAGGTTTTAGTACATATTTTGCAATGTAAAAGGCTACAGTGAGCTTGTATTAAGCTACATTCAAATGCTCACCCTGTCACTCAGTAGGACAGTGCTTGAAATATTCAGCTCTTAAAAGCTCATCAGACACACTGAAAATGAATCAAGCTCTTAAATGCACTCTTACATTTATTTCAGCTTGATAAAACAGAAAGAAAGTGTTGCGTTTGCTGAACTAACTCTTATGTTGAGCAAGACTGCATTTATTTGATAAATACAGTAAAAATAGTAATATTGTGAAATATTATTAAAATTGAAAACATATTTGAATATATTTAAAAATGTAATTTATTCCTGATGGCAAAGCGGCATTATTTAGAAGCCATTACTCCAGTCCTCAGTGTCACATGATCCTTCAGAAATCATTCTAAAATGCCGATTTGTGCTCAAGAAACATTTCTTTTTTTTTTTTATCAATGTTGAACAGGTTGTATTGCTAAATATTTTTGTCGTTTTTTTTCAGGAGGAGAAAGTTTATAAGAACAGCATTTATTTGAAATAGAAATCTTATCTAACAATGTAAAAGTCTTCACTGTCATTTTTTTATCAATTTAAATTTCTTAAAAAAATTACTGATCCCAAATTTTTGAACAGGAGTGTATTGTGTAGCAATTCTGTAGGACTAGAAATTCAGGATGTTACTGGAAATGAATGAATCTAGAGGATGAATCTAGTCAAGAGGATCAGGTGCGGAAGGAAAGATTAGTGTATAATTAGTCATCTATGAATGTAGCTTATGAAAGATTTTCAGGACTTCATCCTCAATGGAGAGCATGGTATTGTGTGTGTGTGTCAGTACTGATCCAGAACAGGGGAAGAAATATAAAAGAAGAGCTTCTAAAAAAAAAAAATTTGAATAAGATCAAAGGAGTAGAGTTTAGGGAGAGAAAAGAATGCTCTCCAATAGGACTGAATATACTGAGACACAGGGCTTTCTTTACAATTTTCTCATGTTTGTGTGGCAATCACTAATTCCTATTATTTCCTTTTATTCAGCAATAATGCATTACATTTATCAAAACAAAAATAACAGTAAGACATGTATTATGTTACAGAAGAATTCTATTTCAAATAAATGCTATGCATTTGAACTTTCTATTTATCAAAGGAAAGAATTTAAATTTTGGGTGAACTGTTCCTTTAAAATCTTTCCTGTCTATTATTAAATGCTGACGTCTCTGCAGGCCTGAAATCACCTGATCATAATTCATGACCGACACAAGTCTACGCTGTTAAACTTTCACACAACATTAACTGCAATTCTTGCATCAGGGCATGGTGTTCTTTTGAAGTTCTGTGACAGCCTACAAGAATGTCCAAATAAACGGTTCATTTGAACTCCACTGCATTTCTTCATTTTAATCTTTGCCTTCAAGACGGAATATTTGGCCCACATGTGGAAGTGTTTTTCTATTTGCTGGCACTCAGGAAATGTTTCTGGAACTGTGTTAAGTGCAGTTTGCTCCCAAGAGACACCAACTTCCACTTCTCAGCTCTTCCTTCCACCTTGGAGAAGAGCTCGCTGCTACTACAAGATTTCATCTGGAAAAAGAAATGCCCACAGAACTACGTTTACCCCATTAGACTGAGAGCATGTTAGTTTAGTCAGAAAGCAGGTGCGTGAGAGTAAAGAGCACCCCCTACAGATGAAACACTATTTTACTAATAGATTGATCAGTGCTTCCCACCCTTTCTGTCTTCTGCACCTTTTAATGTACTTTAATTGGCTATTTTTATTCATCAAGGACATTAAATTGATCAAAAGTGACAGTAAATACATCTACATTATTACAAAAATTCTGTTTCAAATAGATGCTGTTCTTTTCCTGTTCCTGAATGCTGAAAAAAATGTATGACCGTTTCTCTAAAAATAAAAGTAGCACAACTGTTTTCAACTGTGATTAAAAATAGTAAGAAATGATTCTTGAGCACTAAATCAGCATATTAGAATGATTTCTGAAGGATCATGTGACACTAACGACTGAAGTCATGGCTGCTGACATTTTAGGAATACATTTAAAATATATTAAAATAAAAAACTGTTATTTTAATCCGTAAAAATATTATCTTATATATATATATATTAGTTCTGTCAAAAATATTTATATATATATATATGTATATACACATACACACACTGCCGTTCAAAAGTTTGGGATCAGTAAGACTTGTAATTATGAATAAAAATTTAAAAAGAAGAGCATTTATTCAAAATATAAATATTTTCTAAAAAATATAAATCTTTGCTATCACTTAACAATTTAACATTTAACAAAACTTTTCTGACCCCAAACTTTTGAACTATAGTGTATATTGTTAGAAAATATTTCTATTTTAAATAAATGCTCTTCTTTTTAACTTTTATCATCCTGATCCCAAACTTTTGACCGGTAGTGTATATATATATTTATCAAGCAGGGTTTTTTTATTTTATTTCCTGTGCTTCTCTTTTGTCATTCATCAGAACTTATAGACACTCGAACAGCAAGGCCATTCAGTTTCTCCTTCAACACCAGTGACTACCGGATCTTGCATGTTGACCCAGACCAGGGGCGGTTGTACCTGGGCAGCCGTGAATATCTGGTCTCTCTGGACATGCAAAACATCAACAAAGAGCCTCTCATTGTAAGTGATGATTCAAATGAATCAATTCCATTCAAAACAAAACAACATGAAGCAATTAGCACCCAAACGCTGACCCCAGAAGAATTGAAGTGTCAGTGAATTCTTCTCATAATGCAGTGGGTGTTTTATGTCTGTAGATCCACTGGCCGGCTCCAGCCCAGAGAAAGGGAGAGTGTCAGATGACTGGGAAAGGCAGGCATGTGAGTTTACATCATTCTTTTCATCTAACCACTCTAATTAGTACTAAATGACTCCCTAAATAAGATATGTGAGACTCTTGGTTTCGCGTATATAAATGTGACCTATATCAGTTTTCAACAGTGGTTTGTGTGTGTGTTTTCAGGGAGAGTGTGCTAACTTTGTGCGTCTGATTGAGCCGTGGAACAGGACTCACCTGTACACCTGCGGCACAGGAGCTTATAAACCCATCTGCACCTTCATCAACAGAGGTTGGAGAGCTGAGGTACACACACACAAACATACTCTTTATACTCATATGTAGACACAACCAGCAGTAACCCAACCAATGCTTTCCCTGCTCTGATGTCCACAGGACTATCTCTTCAGACTGGTTCCTGGATATGTGGACTCTGGAAAGGGAAAATGCTCTTACGATCCAAACCAGGAGAACGTTGCAGCCCTGATTAGTAAGAAACGATTAATGAAGAATATATGTAATTGATGCTTTGCTAAACCCATTACTAGCCAATCCTACTGTAGCAACTGTTGCAGTTCACCATATTATCAAACAAACTCCAAAACAGCAGAACATAACAGAATCATAACATGTTAACCAACACATATAATAAGATAACAGAAAAAATACATACGACAACATAACAATCATAACATGCCATGAAATAACAAAATCATAGCATATTAAGTGTCAGAATCATAACAGAATAACATAACATATAATCATAAAAGAATCGTAGGATAGAATAGAACATAGAATAGAATAATAGAATCATAACAGAAAAAAAATCATAACAGAATCATAACATTGGACAGCTACATTTGCTCCAGGGTAAATCATTGCTAATTTGTTTACATATTCATTCAAGTATATAGTTGTCTGTGATAAGCTTTTGACTTGCAGTTTCTAATCATGTTATTACATAATTTAACAATTACTTAAAACAGTAACATGCTTTGCAACATCAATTCATTCTAGTCCATATATAAATACATACTATGCAGAATAAAATAATGAAAATCAATTTTAATTTGACCACTTTAACATGGGCATATTTTACCTATTACATATTTTACCTATTTAATTTATCCTTATCTGATGTTCTGTAAAGCACAAAGAATCAACAGCAAGAGGGCAGAGTTTATCGAAGGGTCAATAACCTGTCTAATGTGTCGTCACACAACAGTTCAGCAAATTTCACAAAATCATCTGAAACATGTAGCTTTGACTTGTACTTATGAATTTTTTTTTTTTACCTTTATTTATATAGCGCTTTTTACAATACTGATTGTGTCAAAGCAGTTTTACAGTGTCAAACAGGAAAATAGTTTGTCAATAATGCAAGAGGACAATAACAAAGAGTCATTTTTCCAGTTCATTGATGATTCAGTGGTGTTATCATCCAGTTCAGCTCTCTTCCAATAGTGTCTGTGCAATCAGTCAAGCGTTCCCAACTAAGCAAGCCAAAGGCGACAGTGGCATTTATCATTTCCTCACCTCTCCTCCACCTAGATGGAAACCTGTATGCTGGAGTGCCGGTGGACTTCATGAGCACTGATCCAGGCATCTTCAGGACCATGGGGAGCCGGCCAGCTGTTAGATCAGAGCAGTATGACTCTAGGTGGCTGAATGGTAAATAGCTTGGCTGTTCATATTTGGATTGTAAGATGACATTTGAATTAGTTTGACAATAAATATCAGCTATTTTAGTTTCCATTAAATATTTGGATGGACATTACATGCACACTCTGTTTATTTCCTAGAACCTGTATTTGTTCACATGAAACAGATTCCTGACAGCTCCGAGAAGAACGACGACAAACTCTATTTCTTCTTCCGTGAGAAGAGTCTGGACTCCGGGGTTGGAGCGAGTCCAAGTGTGCTGGCTAGAGTGGGCCGCGTGTGCCTGGTGAGCAGGATCCAGAAACTGAACGTTCACAGGAAGCAGTTCACAGTTCAGTCAATAAACAACTGTTTGTGTTTTATCACAGAATGATGAGGGCGGACAGAAGTCACTTGTGAACAAATGGACAACTTTTTTGAAGGCCAGGCTGGTGTGCTCTGTGATGGGCGATGATGGGGTTGAAACCTTCTTTGATGAACTGAGTGAGTGTTGTTTTTTTTTCCCAAGTTTATTTCATAGCAGTTTGTTATGTGTTACATAGAATCTAGTGGTGTTAAATCTGCCAAGTATTTCAGATATAACAAATACTGTTGTATTTCCAGTGATGCATACTTAATATCTCAGCATTGACACAGTTTTGAACTTCTTTTCTCGTCCGCTCCAGGGGACATGTTTATCCAACCCACCCAGGATGAACGAAACCCAGTGGTATATGGTGTCTTCTCAACTTCTGGGTACATATTTTCTTCAGATCAACACAAAATGTCAAATTATAGTAATTTCTGACTTTTCATATTCTTCTTTTTGTGTTTTAATTTCACTTTGGAAATGATTTATTGTTTCTGGATCTGTGATATTTTACTCGTCTCTTAGCTCTGTGTTTAAAGGCTCAGCCGTGTGTGTCTACTCAATGGCTGACATCCGAAATGTCTTTAATGGCCCTTTCGCCCATAAAAACGGACACAACTACCAATGGACTACTTATACAGGGAAGATTCCCTATCCTCGTCCGGGAACAGTGAGTTTCAGTCAATTTCTCTCTTAAGCTTTATGAAAATTTTGAAATTTCACCCACAGTATTTGTCATTGCATATTCTTGTGTGTTTCTTATAATCTTACAGTATCTATGATATATATTTTATGGCTATAAAGGTATTTTTAAGACAAGCAAACCCAGAAGCATGTACATTTTTCTGACTGGCTTTTCCTCCATGTCACACATCAGTGTCCAGGAGGCACATTCACACCGGGCCTTCAGTCCACAAAAGAGTTCTCAGATGAAGCAGTTAACTTCATTCGTGCTCATCCTCTCATGTACCACCCTGTGTATCCCATTCACAAGCGCCCTCTGGTGGTGCGCTCTGGTGTAGACTATCGCTTTACTACTATTGCAGTGGATCAGGTGGATGCTGTGGATGGCCGATATGAGGTTCTCTTCCTGGGAACAGGTGAGTCTGCATCTTCTGAATGCCGATATTAGTTAAGCTTAGTGAATCTGTTAAACTTGGGGTGGTGTAGTCTAGTTGTTAAAGTAAGCATGAAATGAAAATTCCCCTTATCTGTTTTCTCAATGCATATTATAGATCTTGTTGTGAACAACTCATGCAGGAATATGTTTAGTTTTAAAGGGGTCATATGATGCTGCTAAAAAGAACATTATTTAAAAAATGATGATAATAATAATAATAAAAATAAACATAAATAAATAAATAAAATAATAATAACAATAATAGTAATAATAATAATGAACTCAATTAATCAGAAATGAGGGGAAAGTTGGAGGACGTGGAAGATAAATAGCAAAATAATAGTATTAATTAGTAATAGTAGCAATAATAACAATATTAACAATAAACTCATTCATCAGGAACGGGGGGGAGGTTGGAGGATCAGGAAGAGGACAAATAGTAATAATAATAATAATAATGGTAGTAGTAGTAATAATAACGGCACCAAGAACAACAACAATAATAATAATAATAATAATAAAGCTATAAATAGTGAGATATTGTAAGGCTGCCTCTGGGCCCTCCATGAGCACAGCATAAGTTGGGCCCCCGTCCATGTCACCCTACGACGGGCCATCAAGGAGAGGTGTTGTGGGGCACAGGGCCCAAAGTCCCACCCCTGGCCGCCACATACATGCCATGCTTACCCTATATATATATATATATATATATTTTTTTTTGACCTCATAATGTTTAATCAAAATGTCATAATATGCTGGACTTCTCCAATCATTTAAACTCAGCCCTGCAAGCTCACATGTATCTGCCTCCACTTTTAAATGCAACGCCCAAAACCCAATCAAGAACCGTTGCACAGAACCAAGTCCCCACCATAGATTTTTTTCTTTTCAGATAATCTGTAATGTAGGTTGCAGATTTTGGTAAACATATTGTGTTGACAGTGTATCACTTTTCTCTCACCCCACAGATCGTGGTACGGTCCAAAAAGTTATAGTCCTGCCCAAGGATCCCACCACAATGGAAGAGCTCACTTTAGAGGAAGTGGAAATTTTCAGGGTAAATACATTTTAAAAACATTTTTCAGACCTCAGCATTTTAATGTTATACTAAAAATAAATAATGACATCTGTGTGTGTGTAAAATAAAAATTGAAAATATAATATGCTTTTCTATTCCTTATTTATAGACGCCTGCTCCTGTCAAAACAATGTACATATCAGCCAAAAGGGTAAGATATAATAAAACACATTTTAATACCCTTTAAGAGTGCAATTTTTAAAAATGTATTACAGAAATCATAGAATTATGATTTCATCCAGCAATAGGTCATTACAATTTTTTTTTTTATTTTTTTTTTTGAAGCAACAGCTGTACATATCTTCAGAAGCAGGTCTTACCCAGATGTCCTTGCACCGTTGTGGAGTATATGGAAAGGCCTGTTCAGACTGCTGCCTGGCCAGAGACCCCTACTGCGCTTGGGATGGAGAAAACTGCTCTGCCTTTACACAAGCCACCAAAAGGTCTGAGAACCTGAAATCTTTAAAATTGTACTTACTTATCCAGTCTCTTCACAGCTGAATCAAGATGAGAATGAATGATGAGAAAATTACGTGGCGTTTGATTATATTTTGTATTATTTCATTTAGGAGGAGCAGAAGGCAGGATGTGAAACATGGTGACCCTTTGCGTCAGTGCCGGGGCTACAACGCTAAAGGTAACAAAACCAACAGTCATCAATAAATAGTCTGCAGGATTATAATGAGGGCAGTCTGATGTATTTGTATAATAAGACAGCATATGACTGTAATATCTTTCTGTATTTACTAGTGGAGAGGAGACTGCAGGAGAAAGTTCAGTTCGGTGTGGAGGGTAGCAGCACATTTCTGGAGTGTGTGCCGCGCTCTCCTCAGGCCACTATCAAATGGCTCTACCAGAAGGAGGGAAGACGAAAAGTGGTATGATTGCATTCTTTTACTTTATTTCAAACCAACCGACCCGACTGACCAACCAACTAACCAGCCAAAAAAAACATTACATAATAAGGTTTTTATTTTGTTGGTTAATATGCTCTACTGTATTTATTTATTTGTTTGTTTAAAGAAATAACAATTTTATACAGCAACATTAAGACACGATGAATTGATTAAAAGTAACAGTAAACACATTTGTGACCCTGGACCACAAAACCAGTCTTAAGTCGCTGGGGTATATTTGTAGCAATAGCCAAAAATACATTGTATGGGTCAAAATTATTGATTTTTCTTTTATGCCAAAAATCATTAGGATATTAAGTAAAGATCATGTTCCATGAAGATATTTTGTAAATTTAAATTGACCCTTATGACTGGTTTTGTGGTCCAGGGTCACATTTATGTTACAAAAGATTTCTAGATTAAAGATTAAACTTCAAAAGTTTAAATAAATGCAGTTTCTTCAAAAATATTAAGCAGCACAACAGTTTTCAACATTGATAACAATAATAAATGTCTCTTGAGCATCAAATCATCATATTAGAATGATTTCTGAAGGAAAAGGTATTTTAATATCTAATACAATTAATACAATTTCACAATATTACTGTGTTTCTTGATTGGATATATGCAATCTTGTTCAGCATGAGAGGTTTTTCAAAAACATTTAAAAATCTCTTTGTTGACAGCTGAATCGAGACGGTGAGGTTCTTAAGACTCCTCAGGGGGTCCTTCTGAAAACACTCACCAAATCAGACGCAGGCCTCTACCATTGCCTGGCCACAGAAAATAACTTCAAACACACGTTGGCTCGTGTCTCCTTGCGCATCCTGGACCGGGACATCGCTGTAGCCCTCACCACCCCCGATGAGGAGGAAGAGGCACCAAGGAGCCGTCACAAAGACCATCAACAGGACCCTGCACCTCCTACCAAAGTGCTCTTGCTGGAGCCTGAAATGCGTCTGATTCAGCAGTACTGCAAGTCCTACTGGGAGCAGCTGACGGCCGGGGGAAACTCACAGGCTGACCTCCCCAAACGTACAAATCGCAGACACACAGATGCACTGATGGCTAGTGGGGAGTGAGGAGGACAAGAAAAGAGAGTTACCTGTCTGTCACCTTGCTCCGAGCGGTTTGTGGACTTGCATAGGTTAGTTCATATGCAGTGGCACCAAAAAGTATTTGGACACTTTTGGACCATTTAGACACTTTTTACAGTGTTCAAAGTGAATAAAAATAAATTTGTGATTCTTAAAAATTAAAATGTATTAATTTCCCCCAGAGTATTTAGACACTTTTGGACTATTTGAACACTTTTATACTGTGTTCAAAATCATTCAAAATAAAATTTTGACCCATAAAAAATGAAAATATATTAATTTCCCCCCCAAAAGTATTTGGACACTTTTAGACAATTAATTATGATTACATTTGTACAATATTCCAAAGTATTTTTTGACATCTAAAAATGAATATATTACAGTGTTCAGAAGTTAACCAATTGTATAAATTAATATTAATGTAAAATTAATTCATGAACAGATGCTCCAAATATTTGGAAATTACTTTTTATTTTGGACACGTAAAAAAATGGATACATTTTTACAGTGTTTAAAAAACATTTTTAAATGAATTAATTCATAAGCCGTGTCCCCAAAAATATTTTTAAAAATGAAAGTTTAAAAATTATTTTTCCCAATATTCAAAAAAAAAAAAATCTATTAATTTTGAACACTGTATCTGGTTTTTGAAATTTCCCACTTGGCTTGATATTTTGTTATCTAATGCAATAGCATTTACCCTCAACAAATGAAATTTCCAAATCCTTTTTGGGGTCATTGTATGTAATCAAACATTCATTGTTCATTTGTTCACTGATCCAAAGTTGAAGTACGTGACCATTCGTCTGTTGTACTGGGATTATATTCGGTGTTGATTTAGGACTTAACATTTCTACTTGCCACAGTGATTTGACTGAATTTCAGTATTATAAACAGGTGTAAACTTTTACTAATCTCACAAATTAAGCTATAAATGAACACCAGGATTCAGTCATTACATACTGGCTTTAATTAAAATAAAAAAATCAACTGAACCATAAAAATCCGTGTATCATTCGATCATTCGTTTTTTGATTTAATATTGAAAGTAGAAAAATGAGAAAACGGCTTCCTTTTCGTTTTTTCGTTTTTTTCCAAAAAACGAGAAACGAGAATTCAGCTTAAATTTTCGTTTTTCGTTCATGGGTGGAAAAATGAATAAACAGCTTGAATATTCGATTTCTACACGTGGGAATTAAACGCCCCTTTCTGCTGATTGGTCCACCCATGAACGAAAAACGAAAATTTAAGTTGAATTCTCGTTTCTCGTTTTTTGGGAAAAAACGAAAAGGGAGCCGTTTTCTCATTTTTCTACTTTCAATATTAAACCAAAAAACGAATGATCGAATGATACACGGATTCATAAAGCACCTTTAAAGAGGATATTACCTCACAAGCTTTGAAACGTTCCACTATCCTGTCATCAGGAAAAGCCTTTGTTAAACCACCAGTCATTGGGCAAGTGCAATTTCTAATGTTCCACCTGGATTATGAAATTGTTAAAGTAATTTATGTATGTATGTTTATATATGTATGGATTCTAATAACTAGGTTAATAATGGAGCCAAACATTTGCAAGAACTCACTTGCCTTCATATCTGTGACTGTGGCTGTTTCTCACCATTTGTAATATATATTTATTTGAAGTTGTATATTTTTTTTTTTATGGGAAGATCTTTGTTGTTAGAGGATACTGAATAAGGGTGGAGGGCATTTTTGCATGATTGAGAAATTCGATATGTTGCTATTTATTTAAATGCATTCAATATGACTGACACTGTTTAGGAAATAGCAATTTATGTTGTGCATTTCAGTTCATGCTTTGTGCCTGGTTGAGCAATCACCGTTCAAGCAAATACAAACATCATATGAGTTCACTCAGATAATATCTAACACTGGAAATATTTCACAATATTTGTGTCCTTTTTTAGTAGAATGGTAGAATAGTGTGGTTGTAAATTACAATGTTGTCTTGCTCTTAGATATCTTGTACGGAAAGAAATAATAAATGAGCAATAATTTGTGAGCCATGGATTCACTTTTCAATTCACATTTGAGTATATTAACATATTGTAAATACATTCAGTACTGATTCACATTATATGCTGTTATAGAAATCTACATCAACTGATAAACACACAGAGACTGAGAACCCTTGAGACTAGAAAGAGAACATATGCATGGTATCGGTACAATATTTTACTTTATTTTTTACATTCGATTACCTTTTAATTACCTTTGATATCATCGAATGCTCACTTAAGGTAAATAAAAAATACTATAATTTAATAAATGTAATGGAATCTTTAAATGTAATATTTAGCAAATCTCAAAAAAGAATATTCATTTTTCATACTGTATAATAAAATGTTGTGGTACCTAAAATCACCTGTAGCATTTCAAACAAATGATTTCAGTGTTGTTGATTTAATTTGTTTAGGAATAATAGAATAGAATTTTAATATCAGCCATTTATCCACATTTTTCTGAATTGGCCAGAATATCAGTGCATCCCCCTTCTAAAACTGCCTAGGTACATAATATTTAAAGTATTTCAGTTACACCAGGATTAATCCCACTCTTCATCGTCGTCCTCGTCATCATCAAATTCATCATCCTCTTCTAAAAGATATGGTAGATAAGGCACAAGGTAAAAGGTTAATAGTTATGGCAGAGTCCATCAGACCAACTTATTCTCTGAGCATTAATTACAAAATATATTGTGTAAATATTAATAAATATAAATGTACTACATTTTTATTTTCATAATTACTATATTAAATGACAACAACAACACAAATTCTAGTGATTGAGTGGTTACCAGATGAATGGATGACTTTACTCCTCTTCTGCATCACCATCATGAGAGCTCCAACTATTCCCTCTCCTGTATCCAGGGCAGGTGGAGGATCTGGGTTGGTGGTCACCTGGGCAAAAGAAATGACTGTGTATAGCTTTAAGCATTACATTATCAATAATGAGAAGCTAAGATTATGGGAACCTTATTCGTGCTTGGATCTTGCAAGTGGGTGATCTGCTTTGAACACTAAAATGACCTCATCTTTTCAACAAAATATAATATTTACACTGCCATTCACAAGTATGGGGTCAGTAAGAAGACTTTTATGCTGACCAAGACTGCATTTATTTTGATCACAAATACGGTAAAATCAGCAATAATTGCGAAATAGTATTACAAATTCAAATAACATCTTTCTACTATAATATAATTTAAAATGTAATTTATTTCTGTGATGGCAAAGCTAAATTTTTAGCATCCATCACTGCAGTCCCAAGAAACATTTCTTATAATCAATGTTGAAAAGAGTTGTGCTGCTACTGCGCTGCTACTGGAAACTGCGCTACATTTTTTCACAATTCTTTGATGAATAGAAAAAAAGAACAGCATTTAAATAGAAACTTTTGTGACATTATAAAAGCCTTTACTGTCATTTTTGATCAATTAAATGGTTAATTATTAACTTTGAAATGGTAGTGTAGATACTCACCTTTTTGAGCTTCATCCCTGATTGAATCTGGGTAAGTAATGCTCCTCTACCCCCTTCCCCACTGCTGGATGCTGGAGGTGGTGGACCATTTGGAGGTGAGGGGTTGCTTCCAAAGTTCATTGGAGGAGGAGCAGCGGGAGGTGGAGGTGGCGGAGGAGGAGGAGGACTGCCTGCACTGGGTTTGGCTGAGACTGGAGGGAGCGGAGGGGCGAAGCCTGAGGATTTGCTTCGTGGAGGAAAGTTGGATTCAAAAGGATGAGGTGGAGGCACAGAATTAACAAAGCCTTCAGGTGGAGGAGGAGGAAATGATTGACAGGCTGGAGGAGGGAAGAAATCAGATGGGGGAGGAGGTAATGGCGTATCAGATTGCGGTGGAGGTGGCAAATATCCACTATTGTCTCTTAGAGGCGGGGGTAAGGGTGCGCTCCTCACACCCGGTGGTAGTGGTGGTGGAGCTGCCTCAGCAGGTTGGGGCGGCAGAAAGCTACCTCGTCTTTCGGTCATTTGTGGTCCAGGTCTCTTTCCTGGAACGGGCGTTAAAGACTCCCTACGTTCTCCTGGAAGTGGTGGTGTGGGCAAACCTCCACTCCGACCTCCAGGTGGAGGTGGTAAGGGTCCACTGCGGGATCCTGGAGGTTGAGGCAAGGGCCCAGTACGCCCTCCGGCAGGAACTGGTGGCAGGGCTCCTAATAATGTAGATCGGGCTGGCAGAGGACCGCCGCAGCCCTCAGGGGTTTGTGGGGATGCAGCTGCTCTTGGAGGTGTTGGTGGAAGGGAACCTCGATGAGAAGGTGGGCCAGAGGACTGACCGGGGACAGGCGGTAGAGGCCCCATTCGACCTTGAGGTATTGGCGGTGGCGCTGAGGAGAACCCAGATGGCACTTGGGGAAGAGAACCCCGATGTCCACTGGGAACAGGAGGGCGAGTAGACTCTAAACGAAAATTAAACAATACGGTTTTAACATGAAACAAATCTAACATTTTAACTTTGCATATCACCATGACTTACCCTGCGGGTTCACAGCCTTTTTAACAGCCTCAATTCCACCTGAACGCTCAATGACATCATAGATGAGCTGAGAGGTTTCCGAATCGTTCATATCTGCTTCACTGATCCCAGCGCAGGACAGAACTTTCATCAGTTCCGGGTCCAAATTGTTGGGACCCATGCCAAGGTGACTGACATGCCTAAAGTCATGACACACACACAAAAAAATGTAAGCTAACCAAAAGCCTCTTCAGAATACATTTATCTTAGTTAAAGCGAGTCTGCTTATTCACTCACGTGAATCCACTAGGTGTTCCAATATCCCCTTTCAACAGTTTAGATCCTTTCTTCTTACTTTTCTTGTCTTTCTCTTTCTTGTCTTTCTTTGATTTGGAAGGGGTAATTTGGTTCTGGCTATTACTTAGTACCAGTGGAGGCATGGCAGAAGAGGTAGGAGTACCAGAGCCTGAGTTTGAAGATGCAATAATAGTATTTATTTATTTATTTTTAATTTGTGTACACTTCATGCCATTTTACATCACTGAACATGTAGAGTTAAATTTGTATTGTTTTCAGAACATTCAATGCTTGTAGTTTACATGAGAGGCAGAGAAAGCACGGGGATATTTCGTGTAATATTAGTTCTATTATTGGGCCACATGACGATAATAACCCTTTAACCCTTTCTTTTCTTTTTTCATTTTACAATAACCATATAAACAATAATACAATTTAGTAAAAAAGAAAGGAATAAAAACAAAAACATCAGAAGAAATAGATTGAACTACCTTGTTTTCTAAAATAAAGTAAAGGTTAGTGAAAATGTTTATTAAGATGTGAAAGGCCTATTAAAAACATAACTTTTAAAATACAGACAAATACTTTTAGTTTCCCATTAGACAAGCACAATCTTAGTGTAAAAAGTGATTTACTTACCATTTGGTGGAGGAAGTGGTGGCAAAGCTCCATGATCTAAGAATATAAAAGAAATATATATTTGACTTGCACTTTATTTAAATAACCTACACTAAATAAATAAATACAAATAAATGCAGTGATTTTGAGAAATCACATTACCTCTATATTCGTGTCCTTTTCTCTGCTGTTTATCTTTATGTTATTAGAGGAAAACAAAACCATTTAAGTGAGATGCCTTATTAGATCATCTTCATGATCAGATTTATGAAGTAGTTTGAATTGACAGAAATGGTTAAAACAAATGAATACACAATTATTGAATACCAAAACGATTATTTCTCTGGCTGATCTTCTCCTCCACTACAGCAAAGAAACTGTCAGCCTCTGCTACATCAGCAAAGTTCAACCCCACTTGACAGTCCTGAGGAGAGATGCAATTTTTTTTTATTATTGTTATATAGATACCTGATTAAAGAAAGGTAACTGAAGAAAGCATAGTCAACTATTAGGTAATATAGGGTTAAATTACACTGCCAGAATGGTAGCGTACATTAAAGCTGATGATTGTTTGAACATTACACTAACTTACTCTTATCATTGAGCTAGCCAACTTTATTACATTTTACATAATTTGTGGATTATAAATATTAGTATTAGATATAAGCCAAAATATTGCAGAGCTTTTATAAACTTTAACTTAGATTATAAGATGTAAAAAAAGAATAAACCTAATCAAAAGGAACAACTAATCAACATAAACAACTTTTTTTCAAATAAAACCATCAAAAACACAAAAAAACGGTTTGTATTAATACTAAATAACAATTGTAACACATGTACACATCCTGATTATCCACCATGCTTTGACCAAGGCTGCTTCTCAATACTCAAAATCATGCTGCCACATTTCCTCGCTCCTCCGTCCTTGACCCCTTGACCTGGAAACTGATCAAGGTTAGTCATCTTGAAGGACATCTCAATTATCTAATCGCATCGTGAGAAAGTGAAGAATGAGGAATGGGGAAGCTTCCAGAGGAGCAGCAAGGATGCCCAGGTGTATCCTTTGCAGAAGTCTTTCTTGTCGAAAAACCTGACACACGTAAATTCTCCTCCCCCTTCACATTTGTCATAATAATTTTAATTTATGTTTTACTTTTGCAGTTTAAATAAACCATACATCTCATATATTTCAACACGGCATCTTGCTTTATTAATACTTATAATCAATGTTGGGGAAAGTTACTTTTAAAAGTAATGCATTACAATATTGTGTTACTTCATAAAAAAGTAACTAATTGAGGTTTTTTTTGTGAGTGAGATGAATTAATGCATATTCATATTTATTTTAGAACTACAGTAACATCTTCTGATTTCTCTCAACATGGGGACAGGAGAGCTGTCAATCAATAAATTGGAAAAAAAGTAACTTGCGTTACTTATTTGAAAAAGTAACTCAGATATTCTCTTGTAAATGAAAAAGTAATGCGTTACTTTACTAGTTACTTGAAAAAAGTAATCTGATTACTTGTAATGCGTTACCCCCAACACTGCTTATAATGAATGTCTCAAATAACCAAACTTTAACAACATAAGGGCAGATCACCTGAGCGCAGCTGATGGCGCTTTGTAGTGACGATTGAGTCGTCAAAAATATTCCAATGTACAAATAAGCTTTCCTTTGATTCCTCCTTACTCATTTTCTTTCTTTGTATCCTTCTCTCTCATCCTAAGGGGGGTTCAGTGGTGGAGCTAAGACGCGAGGAAAGGAAGCGAGTGAAGGAAACGAGGATATGCAAATGAGAAAAGTTCAAGTGCAAAGGATTATGGGGTATTCCTTCCAGCTTCTTCACTAGGCATGCTCAGTAGCAGATGCAACAATATGAAGTTCAAAGAACTGATCCAATCCAAGCAGCTTCTACAGGACGTCAGTGATCAAACTGAGCATGTTCGACAATTGATCAGTTCCACTTTCACCAACAAACAACAGACAACAACAGAAAGTTCTCGCTATTTAAACTTTTAAGTTGCTCATACTAACTAAAATGTGACTGTATTTTTGTTTTCTACATTAGATAGTTCAATCAGTCTTTAAAATAGAGTTTGTCTGACAAAATGGAAATATTTTTACAGCGTGTCTGACAGTGGGATGACAATACATTGTGTGTTATAGTTATATGGCCAGTTAAGAGTTTTCATCAGCAACAACTGCATGCGTTCATCATACATGCAAATACTGTGGGTAACATTAGCTTCTTTTGCCTGTCTAAATGCAACAGCAGACAGTACTGTTGTAGACATTAATATGAGGAAGTAACTGATGTGCTAAATTAACTTTACAGGAAAGAGAAATAAAAACTTCCCCGAGACAAAAAAAAAAAAAAAGTCTTATTGTAATGTATTATATAAATGTTAAAATCAATTGTAACAATGACATTGAGCATATGACTCACAAGGTTGCAATGAATTGATATTCAACAGGTAAATACTTACGTCTCCAGGGAAAGTGTGAAAGAAAGGCTTGGTCCTTCGGTACATCAGTTGGTTATAGATTTCCTGTTCCCACACCAGATTCCCTGCCTGAAGGGAAGAAACAAATCTGAGATCATCTCAGTTTTCTCCCAGACAAAAGCAGGTCAAACATTTGCGGAACTAAAAGGGTAAAATGTGTATTTATTTTATTATATATATTTGTTTTAGATAGCTTGTCAAGATGTTAATTCATGCACATGAAAATGTGATAATGATTATTATAATGATCTATAAAATCTAGAAATGTAAGATTTAATGCGTTTATTTAGGGCCTGCTGTTTTCACCATGTTTAGCAATGAGAGAAATAGTGTTAAGAACCTTGACGTCATACAGACGGATGAAAAAGGAGCGCTGTGGACTGTCTTTGACGAAACAAACTACTCCAGACTGCTGTGGTGTCCAGCGGTTCGGCTCACTCGGAAGAGCCATAAGCAATTGCACAACCGCTGAGGACAGAGACTGCAGACGAAACCAGAAAAAGGCTGTAATTCGTGCCACACTTTCACAAAGGCCTGTTTTTCTATTATAATTTTCAATTATGTTCACTAATGAACACACCAAGAAAATCACACTCAGTGTCCAAAATATGTACCTAAAGATGGCAGATTATACAGTGCCTGTGTACAAGCCTTATTCTGTGGCAGGAAATGTCTTTAAGCAACTTCCCCTGTCAAACCCCCCCTCAGTGATCACAGTTCAAGCTGCAGTGAGGGCTAATTTCACACCTTCTCTTCCTTTAATCACAAAAGCTTTCACTGTGCATTCAAGCAACACCAAAAATGTACCCACAAAATGGTAGTTACTGCACTGTCGGGTCTGCAACAGAGGTCTTGATCTGTTAGAGAAAGGCTACCATGTTGAAAAAAATAAATCAGTGTTATTTTCCATATAAAAAATGAATATATATATATATATATTTATTTATTTATTTCATTATATTATTTATATTATTTCATTATATAAAATAGATGAGCATGTACTACTTCAATTTTTGCCGTGTATGCAAATTAAGCAATACAATTAATCGGTACATATTTGTATGTGTGTGGTGTACAACCTCAATAGTTGCATTAGATAAATGCTTCTGCTGCATGAATGCGAATGTTAGTATAAAGAATATAGCCAGCAACAACAGGATCTGGTCCTGACTGTGTCAAACAGTGTCATAATGGAATGATTGCAGAAATAAACAACCCAGTACAGAAGTGAGAAACATTTTTGAATTTATTGGTTTACCAACAGCTTTCTTTGATGTGCAGTATGACCTATGTGACTGTGATTAGTTAATAAATAATTACATTGGCAAATAAATAAATAAATGTATGTATGTATGTATGTATGTGTACTGGTAATTATCTGCCAGGACATTATCCATTAATTTTACAGACATTTCCGTTAACCCTAAAACACAATGCAATGAAGTGCAAAATTCAAACAATAGGTGAAAAACCTGTAAAAATAAATACAGAAATATTTAAATATTATAAATACAAAATATTTAAAGAAAATACAATTTGCATTTGAAATGAAGAAAATTTCATTTGTAATGTGTCACGCGGGGACTTCTAAAAATTTCATTGTACTGATATTTCATACTTTGAAAAACATAACTTTAAGAGTATGCTACTGTTAAAATACATGTATCGTCTAAATAATGCTGATTTTAATAAATGTTACACTGTTTTACATTTAATTTTACTGCTGTTAAATCTACAAATGTTCACAGTATAAGGTCACTTTTGTGTAGGGTTTTTGCATACTTTTCCCATTTAAAATTACAAATATTTTTACAATTTAAAAGTCACACCATTAAATTACAATGCTTTTGTAAATTAAGTATTATTTTTTTATTTTTTTTCCAACACATGGTCAAAGTGAAAATTGTCCACTTCTTACATGAGATAAATGAGGGGAAAAACACTGAAAAAATGAGTTCAGCTTCTCAAAAAGAGAAGTAAAACTTTATGGTCAATATTTCTTTTCTTCAGATATTGACAAACAGTTTGATATTTTTGTATGGCAGTTTTTTTTAATTACAATTTTATTTTATTGCGTAAAACTTTTAATTCCATCTTGCAAGTCATAAAACAAACTACAACAGTGATAATGACAAATAAGTGAACACACTAGACAGTCATAAGCATGCAGTCATATTTTGGCCCATGGTTTGCACAGATGTCACTCCATTTTAACAAGATAACACTTGTACTTTTACCCATCTTCCCTCTGCAAAGTGTAAATTTCCCTTAGGCCTGTACTGAAGGCCCTTGAACTTACTCACCACACACCTCCTGCCCAGCAGATGCTCCAGCCTCTCATTCTCCTGTGGACTAAGCAGAGAGCTGCCCACATTCTCCTGGCCCTTCCCCTTCGTTGCTCGCTTCATGGCCTCATATGCTCATGGAACAAACCGTTAAAAAATGAAACTCGAAGCGAGAGAAAGAAAGAGACCCTGGAAGAGAGCGAGAAATCTCCTCTGTACTACCGGTGATTAGACTGAACAGCGAGCATTGAGTTTCTCTTCCTAGTTCTTACTCTCAGCATCAGCAGACAAAAGGTTTTCACAGGAAATGGACAACCACACTTTTTTTTTCTTTTCTATTTTCATTCTCTCGCCTTGTTGTCAGTGTGACACACTGCTGTATGCTCATGTTGCTTTCAGATGAGAGCGGAAGTCCCCTTAGAGCCACCCCTGTCGACGCAGTCAGATCATCAGAACAGCCATTCTACAATGTACAACGTATACCAAGATAGCCTTCTGTTGGTCGGTTCCTGTCTGGTGACTTTAATATCTGTCTGTATGTCACATATGATGAAGAGCAGAAATCAAACAAAACAAAAGGACTGAGGAATTACTAATAGTGTTAAAATAAATAAATAAATAAATAAAGTGGTGGTGAAAGGAAAATGAAACATATCATGACAATGTCATGTTAAGGGAGTTTTGGCTTTTCACAACAAGTACCTCACACAATCACACTGAAGCTTCTAGTTTTTAACTGTTAAAAAGAATAAGTTGAGGCAATAGTTGCACTGAGATTTTTTTTTTTTTTTTTTGGTTCTCTTAACAAATGTAATTGTCTTCAGTACTTTGGGCAATTGGATTTGTTTGTCCAGTCAGTGCTAAATGACTTTCCAACTCTTGTCACAGCAAATACAGATCTGTATGAATGTTTTGAAAAAGAATGTTTTAGAATGTTTTCTGTTAATTGCCCAGGAAGCATTAGCTATTCGTTTAACCTTTATTGACATGTTGTCTCTGTTGTTTCGCAGCCAATATGTAGTTAGCTTGTTAACGAAATACCGTCTGTAGGTCGGCGAGCTAGCATGTTTGGTGCGGGTTTTTTTTTTTTTTTTTTTTACAAATCTATGTTGTCAGGATTGTTAACGATTAATATCTCACAAAAAGCTAAAAAATTGTGTGTATGGCAGTTGAATCTCTAACAATCACCTCACAATTGCTATGGGACTCTTAGCACTACTTAAAAACTTGCCAACAACGCGCATTACCATGCTATTTTGACTAGCTAACTATTTAAATTATTGGTAATGCAATAAAGCCAATAATAGTGTAAATGGGGCTTATAATAATTATAATTATTTTTTTATCTAGGTAATGAAAGAGGAAGACCAAATCATGGTTACTCAATTTTACACAAAGTGCTTTGCACAGAGAAAACTGTTGGATGTGTTGAAGTACTGATCAGCTCATGCAGAGCATTGGTGCAGGTTTGCCAGGTTTTCACAACAAAACCCACTCAGTAGAGTGGGGGAACTATGACGTCAGACTCCAGAAGAGTAATTCGCTGCGTCGCTGGTTAAAACCCCATAGGAAAATCTCGAAGGAACCAGTGGCGAATTTCACTTCCGGGTTCTGACGTCATAGCTCCCAGCCCAATTGCATTTTGAGGAGGGTTGAGGAGGGAAATTGGCATTCCAGGGACTAAATATCACGTTATTGGGGTCGCTTCAACCCGCGGCAACAGCATTGGATGTACACTTTGTACAGAAAAAAAAATCTATATAGGCTACTTTTATGAAAAAATTGCTGAAAAATCCATCTGGCGCAGGTCTCTACTTCGAAGGCATTTCGAAATGACACATGATCAATATGGAAGCATGGAACTGCGGCTGCTAAAAGTCAAAGAACTAAAACTTTTTTTCTAAAAGAAACACATTCTATTCTTAATCATATTTGTTTTTATACTCCCTTATAAATACTTCAGCTACAGCAAAACAGAATAGACGAGATCGTTTGGCATCAGGCTCATTCAAATATGATTCAAACCCATGGGGCAGGTGCCCCCTCAGATTTTGATACAATCACACAGGCACAATAGCTGTTAAATTCAAATCTGCGTTCCCGCTTTGGCTGGCGCTAAACCGGAGACAGACGCGTTTTTACAGGGCTGCGCATTATAGCCAATCACACATGATTCTGTAGAGCTTATGAATGCAATGACCAATCAGAGGCGTTCAGATGAGTCATCGCTGAAACACCGAGTTTTGTTTAGTGCGTGCGTCGCTGACTGAATTCAGATCTCTGGCGAATTAATTCTCTCATCAGAAACAACGAAGTGCAGATGTGCGTACGATGTAAGTAAGATATGCATTTCACAGTGTAAACAGCTTCAGTGATTATAATGGGAGTTTTTGACTCGTGCCCCCTCAAAAATAATAAGTGCATGAAGCCCCTGCATATCCCCTTGCATGTGTCCTTTCAAAATAAGAGCTACCAAAATAAGCCAAATAACACAATATCACATACCATTTGTTGTCTATATAGCATGTGGTATTTATATCTATAATTTGTTGACTATTTTGCTTTATCGGTTTTTCTGAAATTGCAGTTGTTGTTTTTAAATTACTGTTTTATGCAGTTAAGCTGGTCAAAGAGCTTATTTCTTTGTTTTGTCTTAAAGTCTGCATGAAACGGAAGTTGTGATTGTCTTTTCTTCTCTACTGTGACGTATATCCGTGTGAAACGGCATCTGAAATGAGAGAGACCTGCCTGAATGACTGAGCACTTCCTCCATCAGGTTAAGTCATAGTCATGAAAAAAATTAGTTTGCGATGTCCTAAGAGTAATATTGTGGTAATATCCTAATATCTTTTCAATGTTTAGGGGTAACTACTCCCTAGTGACTGGTGTCAGTGCATCAGCTTCAGTTTTCCCCCTGTTGTTTATCCCAGCGTTTGCCCCTCACGTCACTAGCTCCGCCCTTGCGCCATAGCTCGTGACCGAAAGAGAAGATGAGTTGTTTTGAGGGGGAGAGGTGGTTAACGTTTTTGATTAAAGATTATGAGGGCACATGAATTTTAAAAAAAATTATGAAGTGCACAGATAAATTATTTATAATAAACACTACAGTATTCCATTAAAAAATAAGAATTTTCAATTTTGATTTCATGGTGACTTTAATGCTTTTGTTAGTTGATATTTCTGATGTTTTGGCTGTGCAGCACCTTGGTCAACACTAGTTGCTTTTAAGGTGCTATATAAATAAACTTGACCTTGACCTTTTAAGCAATATATTGAATAAAGTGCCATGTAAATACATGTGACGTGACTTCATGGGAGTGCCAATTTGCAGAGCTCGTGCAAACATACCCATGTTGCTATGAACAGATGCTTTTTATAAAAAAAAAAATGCTTGCTGTTCCATGATTGTTGTATTTATTTTGTTACTGAGAGGAAAAGCGCGCAGCACATATTAACATATTCTTATAAATGTTGCTTTCATCAGAGTGGGCGGTGTTGGGATTTTCGATAACAGTATACCGCTGTTCACGTATATCGAACTACATTTTACCCCTAAACGAAAAATGAAAGTTACAAACTTTGTTTTGATTATATATTGGGGCCTTAACTTGTTAAGGAAGTTGCTTTTTAAAGTGATGCTGTCAGTGAAATTGTAGCGAAACATGGAATGTAAGTATATGGTTGTTTAACAGCTGTAAAGTGTATCTTTTGCTCTTACAATATTTAAAAATACTGTCCAGAAATATTTGTAATATTAATATGACTTTGATTAATATGATTTTGTTTTATGCACTAAAGGTGGACACTGAATTTTCCAAGCTTACAGATGTGAAAGAAGACTTGTTCATCAGGAAATGGGAAGGGACCAAAGAAATATCATTCTTGGAGAAGAAAATGGACATCAGTCACTTATTAGAGAAAGCTGACAGTCAGCATGATGGTACTATTTTTTGGCTCTACGTGACATGCACACATTTCTAAATGTAATTTCTGATTTTTTTTACATTATTTCATGATATAAAATTGATCATTTCAAATACAATTTTCAAAATTTTGCAAAAGATCAATTTTGTTTTAAATTGATCTTTTGCATTTGTCCTATATTTTTACTTAGTCAAGATGAGTTGTGCTGCATTATGTTGAAGATTCTCATTCATCTTCCACCCAACGGCATCTGGAAAAAGTGTTGCTGGCAGTAAATGCTGTGGTAATTCTGCTGTCTCAAACCTGTTGGAGTTGGTGCCGGTATGCATTGGTAATGTGTTTGCTTTTAATAAATAAAGTTGTTGCTCAAACAGAAACATTTTCTTATACTTCTCATTTTTGTAGGCTGGTACCAGCTTGACCTCCTTACTGCGTGAGTCCATGAAAGGGTCCCTGAAGTCAGTTCAGCTGGTTTCCATTGGTTCACTTGGACATGGAGCCCAGTACGTAAATGTGGCCAAGAATAATTATTTTGCCCTTCCTTTCAATCTGTGTCAACTATCATTGAGATTTTGTCTCTGTCTTTTGATCAGGTTTTTTAATCATCACATACATACACTATACAGTATCTCACAGAAGTGAGTACACCCCTCACATTTTTGTAAATATTTTATTATTTTATGTTTTGAACATATTTTCAAGTTTGTTATAAGCACATTTCTGTTTGTAAGAGCATGTTGGAGTACATAAGAACAATTTGAGAACTTGTTGGTAATTTACATGTTGTGAACTGCCACCTACCTTGCAGGCGGCGCCCTTCTTCCAGCTTTACAAGGTCGGGGTCCTGAACGTTACGCACCCCCACGGTGGGCACGAGGAGCCAAGTACCCATGTAAGTGGAGCCCATTAGAGAAGCTTCGTATCTAATCATGAGTTTTATTGATTTAAAATGTACAAATGAAACACTACTCTTTGTTCACAAAGTTGCAAATTCATAACATATATTGGTTGAATTTTTTTTTATATAATAGTTTAGAAAATAGTTTTCTATAATAAAACCAGTCGTCTTTAAACAATCTTTCAATTTTATTATTCAAGCCTAGAGAGAGCAATGTGTTCAACAATAAATACATGTATTTCTGAACATTAATCTGTGGGATGCTTGAAATTGTTTCCATTCATTTAACGTCAGGCAACTTGAAAAAACACAAATCGTTGGGAAAATGTGAATCAATTTAAATTTAAATCTGTTAATAAGCTTCCCACTAACTATTGATCTGTTAAGTATTATGTT